ATGAGAAAACGAAAAAACAATTGTTACACATTGAGTTTTTATTATAATTCATTCGTAGAAACGTTAATATATAACCATTTCTGAAATTTACATGTCAGATTATCTGGAGTAGGCGTTTTGATCAGCACTCCCAAACACTAACGTTATTTAATAAGAGACTAGTGAGTGTCTAATAGAGGTTAATTCTTCTTAGTCTCTATTGAATCCTCTTCTATCCACTGCCTTGTGTGTATATAGCATGAATTTATTAACGAATAACGTTGGGAGTAGAGTACAGGGAATAAAAAAAAAGATGACGAAACAAACCAGAGAAAAGTGAATAAAAACGTTACCTATATTCTAGTCAATGATATTGACGATACGATACTGTTAACTGCACGATAAGAACGGACTGCGTGATAAGAACTGTGTGTATGTGCTTTATATATGTGTGACTGTACATAGAAAAAACGTTCTAGAATCTTACTCTTTGTTCTATCTATTTTATGTCTGTTTATATGTGAACAAAGAATTGTGTGTGACTGTTATTACGAAATTATCTATATAGATATGTGGTCACTGAGTGACGAGGACGAAAAAAGGACTAACTGTACTTGTATAGTCAACGACAAAAATAAAAACAAAAGAAATAATAACAAACGAAAAGTAAAGAAATAGACAGTTGACGGCTCTGTAGCCGTTAACACTCCCCACCCCATGGAAGGATGTTACACTAGCAAACAAAAAATAAAAAAAAAACTTCGTTAAACGGGAATAATTATCCGATATGCTGTTCGCCTTCTGTCTTATCGATGTCTGTGATACCGTGAATAATCGATTGTTGTGAATGTTGAACTATGACTGTGTGTGGGAGGTGGATGTAAATCTTCCCAATGTTGACGAGAGAACCAGTATTTGGTTAACAGTTTCGAATACTTCTGTCGTTGCGTATCGTCGTGAAGTGCGATAAAAAGATGTCGATTTTTATTACGATGTGCTGTATTTAGATTAGCGTAAGGGACATTTGCAGTGTCTAAGAGTTCTTTAATATGATGAAATGAAAATCGATAATCAAGGTTGTTTAACACTATTTCGTTTTTCCTCTGTCGTTTACGTTGTTTTTGTGTCATTCTTTTATTTTTTTGACGTCGTTGTTCATCAGTCAATTTAGGTTTAGATTTTAATTTACCGTGTGATGGTAACTGCTGATTTTCTGATAATGGCGAACAAGGAGATAGAGGTGAAGAGGGCCGAGATGATATTTTAGCAACTTGTGGTCGTGAGGACAAAACTGGTTCTAACAGTGAATCTTCATCTGGTGCCATTATAATCAGACTTTCTTGAGTTTCGGTATTGATGGTTTGTGGAGGTGTTTCTAATCGTAGTGCTGAAATTTCGTTGTAAAATTGCGGTTGTGGTGACGGTAATGCAATGTCAGCGTCTCCTGAAAGATCTTCATATATCGTTGTCAGAGGTCGTTTTTGTTCCTCTTCATCGGAAATATTTTCATATTGATCTATTGTAGATTGGAGAATTGTTGACGATATTAGTAATACGGTTGCTGGAGACGGTTGCATAAGTGATAGTGTTGATTCAGTGACGTTCGAGGTTTGCGGCTGTGTATTTGTTGATGCAGCACGTTGACATTGTGCGCTGATGTTCGTTAATTTTAATAAACGTTGTACAGCAAGAACATCCATTGCAGCATATGTTGCCCGTTCGTCTTTCCGTTGAACTAATTTTTCTGATTGGTCCTCGAATAATTGTGGATCAAGGCCACTATTAAAACGTCCTTTCCTGGGGGCTTTATTTATAAATGATTGTTCAACTACGACCATTGCAACTTGTAGAGACCAACTGTCATGATTCGATTGTTTATCATAACTGTCATTGTAGTATCTTTGGAATTCATCTTGTACATGAACATATGGACGATCATCAAGCCATCGACGACCACAAATACGCATAAAGTCCAAAAGTTCATACAATGTTATAAAATATTGATTTTTTAAAATTTGGCAAAATTCAGCAAAATTTCAAGATTTATTGTCTTTTTAAAATTTTAGTACTATCATTTCTGATTTCACATACAAAATTCGATATAAAAAGTAATTCACATACTTTTAGAACCTGACTATCCCACTGAAATCGCTGAAGACCTCGCAGAATGGCTGGAACCCCACCCAATGTTCTTGTAAGCCTATCTACTATCCATTTCAATGAACAGTGCAATCGCTTGTATATATACTTCCTTACAAAAGCCCTGACATAAATCCCCAGCTATCTTACCTTAAAACGTATACACAAACTTCGTGACGAAAACCCTGCTGAAGAGTAGTACGGAAGCCCTGTCACAGCATCCAAGGTACCGGCAATTCAAAAGATAATCAAAACTTTTTTTTGATTTTTTTTTATCATTAGATCGAGCTGATCGAGTTACCTAGATAAAACGTGGATGAAACATGGATTTTTGAAAGCCTTTTGTCATTTATAAAATTTTAAAATATTGATGTTTTAAAATTTGGCAAAATTCAGCAAAATTTCAAGGTTTATTGTCTTTTTAAAATGTTAGTACTATCATTTCTGATTTCACATACAAAATTCGATATAAAAAGTAATTCACATACTTTTAGAACCTGACTATCCCACTGAAATCGCTGAAGACCTCGCAGAATGGCTGGAACCCCGCCCGATGGTCTTGTAAGCCTATCTACTATCCATTTCAATGAACGGTGCAATCGCTTGTAGGTGAAATAACTTGAGAACGAAAGCAGCTGGAGACTTGCGGTTTCAAATCAAATTTGATTATGTTTTGAATTGCCGGTACCTTAGATGCTGTGACAGGGCTTCCGTACGACTCTTCAGCAGGGCTTTCGTCACGAAGTTTGTGTTTTTAAAATGTTCATCAAGAATTCTCCCGATGGGTCAATTTTGACCAGTCAGATTTGACATTTCCATATAAAAACTATGACTCTCTTTCGAATGCTGAAAACCGCAAGTCTCCAGCTGCTTTCGTTCTCAAAGATGGTCATAAGTCGTTATTGTATAAAACGTATCGTTATCGCCTTCGTACGCGTAAAATTGATGGCACTGAAACGTGGCGTTGTACTGAGTAAGTTGTCTGCTTAGTATTGCTTCTATTCTGTTGTTGTAACTAAATATCAACTGTATTGATTTAGTCGTAATTGTTGTGCATCGATAGCAGTCAACCCAACGACGTTAGCAGTTTTAGTGGAACGTGGGAACCATGCACATGAAGAAGCCAAGGTTGAGCATCCACTAGTACGGGAGTTAAAGCGAAAAGTTGGAGATGATATTTCACCAATACCACATCAGTGCGAAGGTGCCATTCATGGGATGGTGAGTCGCGGGCACAAAAGATTATAGAGAATTCTGACCATAATATTTTCTTGTAGGTCAAACGACAAAAAAGTACAGCAGATTGTGCTTTAGTTCCAAAATACGAATCAGTTCGGTCAAGTCTCTATCGAGCGCGCTGGAGACAGTTACAAACATATCGACCCACTAAAGAAGATTTTATGATTCCTGATAATCTTCAAAAAAACACTTGATGATCAACGTTTTCTTGCATTCGATGTTGATATTGGTTCAAGAATGCTTGGTTTTTGTTCTCATGAAGGTCTTTTTCGATTATCCATAAGGTTGGTGGATTCTAGAGCTAACTAATACACAACTTTCTACTTGCTATGCGTTTTTTTATTGTAGTCCACATTGGGGAGCAGATGGAACATTTCGGACAGCCCCGAAACACTTCGAGCAAGCATACATAATTCACGGTTATGATTCCATTTCTACAAAACCGGGATTTTTTGCAACATTGAAAAATAAAGAAAAGAAAACATATTTTTCAATGTTAACGAATCTTCAACATTATGCGTCTAGTTATGGTATACAGTTATCACCTGCTACCATATGACTGATTTTGAAGATGGCGCAATTCAGGTGAGTATGCTAATGACTGCTGATAGCTAAAACTTTACATACTTTACATTTAATTATTATAATGGAATTATTCTTTATTTCAGGCGTTTCAAACACATTTTCCAAATGCCAAGTGTTTAGGATGTCATTTTCATTTTTGTAATTGCCTTTGGAAAAAAGCAGGAAAACTTCATGTACGCAATATATTAAATAATGATGGTAACAAACATTTTCTTGCATCATT